CCTAGGGGTATCATAGAGGATCTGCTTGTTAATGTGGGTGCATTCACATATCCTGTTGACTTTGTTATTCTGGACATAAATGAGGATGTGGATGTGCCTTTGATTCTGGGTAGACCATTTCTTGCCACCGCCAAGGCACTTATTGATGTGCATGATGGTAAACTGATCTTGCGTGCTGGGAATGAACAGGCTACTTTTTCTGTGACTGAGTTTGATCACTGTGCTATGATTGCTGTCACACCTGTGCATGCTATTTCTGACCAGGTACACGAGCCTGTCATGTATCCTTCTACATCTCTCATTTTGCAGGACCCTCCTTTCACTCCTTCGCCGCCACTCCATCCAGCCTCACCTTCGAACAAAAAGATCAAGGAGGAGTGGCGGTCGAAGCAGCAGGTGCCTAGGCCCACTCGAAAGAAAGGTGGAGACCACTATGAGCTGGTCCCACCTCCTGCATCACGATCACCCTAGCCATCCGCGTACTCACTCGCCTGCATTTTGCCGAATGGCCAGGTCGAGCTGACCAATGCTGGTGGTTGTACCCGTCGGGTGCATGGCCACCATCTGAAGCTGTACCTCAAGAGCGATGTGGATCCGCTCTTGGAGGCACATGTTCCTGCACCCCGCTGAGTATCCAACATGGGCGTCCAGCTAAATGACGGTAAAGAAGCGCTTGTGGGGAGGCAACCCCACCATGGTTTTCGTTTAGTTCTTTTGGTTTCGGGTCGGATTGTGAACTGGTTTGTTTTCTTTTCTTTTTTTTTATAATATAATATTGGGCTGACCATTGGACCTAACGTATTGTGTTGGAGTTCTTATGTTCCCTTTAGCTGTGCTTGTGTCCCTGACTGGTCCTCTCTCCAGTCCGCTTCACTCAGACTGGTCCCCATCCAGTCTCATGCAGTCCGTGCACACCGGTAACTTCGTTCTACCCTTCTTATCTTTCCTCCATTGAGGACAATGTCGTGCTTAAGTGTGGGGGGATGCTCGATTATGAATGCATGTGAATGTTTGGCCGTTTGTGTGCTTGGAGCCTAGTCCACTGTCCAAATTTCAAGATTTGAGGGCTCCAAGTACTGCCGTTTGCTTGACGTTTGATCGTATTGGCACTGTGGATGTGATTGGTGAATGGAATGGCTTTTGACTTGATTCATGACAACTTGAGTATGACTAAGACAACCTATTATGATGACTGAGATGTGCAGTAGAGTTGTGTAGGGGTTCAGTTTTTCAACTGTTTGCTTACCAACTGTGACTTGAATTGATCACTTCCTCTTGACAGTCGTTTATGCATCTAGTTCAAGGAATCAGAATGAGAGATAGAGCATATAAGTAGCCATGTGAGATTTGAGCCTGCTCGTTTCTTTCTTGTGCGATAGTTCCCTCTTCCATGATGTGCAGCATTCACGTTGTCATTAGCTAAGATGATGGAGGCATAGGATTAGCCCACGACCAAATTGACTGTCCTGGTGTGTCATACCCCCCTAGTCAGCCCCTTTGAGCCGTGTGTTATCCTTTCTTTCGGTCTACAATGAAAAAAATCACCCTTTTGCATCTCTTAGAAGGTTCCACACAGTGGTTTTTACATGTTCTCTGCCGTTCTGCTAAATGTAATGTGAGGGTTGGAGGTAGTTCTTAAAAAGGTGGGCATGTGTTTGAAAATGTGAATAGGTGGTGGTCCTCTTAAGAAATGAAAGAAACAAAGAAAAAGAAGAAAAATGAATGAATGAAAGCAAAAGAGAGCCACCACCAAAAATCTGAATAGTGCCCGGTAAGTAGTGTTTCTTAGCAGCCTGGCTTAGAAATACTAACGTCGTTGTGACCTCCTTCGCTCTTGTGCTCTAAATAATTTGAATAATGCGGAATGGCAGAAAGCAAGTGAGTGGTTGTAGTTGTGTTGGGTTTGGAATTGTGGAACCTTGTGCTATGAATACTTCCACCACCTAAAAGGCCTTTTCCCCATGTCCAAGACCCTAGCCAGTCATTTGATCCCGTGTCTAAGACCTCCGGATTAGTTAGTGGTGACACCCCATATGTGAACTCTAGCATTTAGAGGTTGCATTCATGGTGAAGAGACGTTAGGGATTGAGAGAATAAGCATGCGCATTTTTCGCATCAAATTGTCCTGACCCCACTGGTCGAGAGTGAGTGATTCATTTTCTCATATTCTTTATACTCCTTATCCCGGTGAGGACCTAGATTGCTCGGTCTTAATTCTGATATCTTGAGTTTTATGCATGAAGTGACTGTCTGGAATAAGTGGTTGAGTCGAGTCTATGTTGGTTGGGGAACAGAAGGGAGACTTTTCCTTTGCTCGACTTTGCTGCAATTCGAATGTCATCTGTGGTGGTTGTCTAGGTTGTCGTTGAGGTTGCCCATGTGTTAATGACCAGAAGCTAGTATGATCCACGTGTTTTGTGCCGATATGATATGCCCTAAAGCCTGCTTGATTGAAATGTTTTGAGCCTACCTTGTGTCTGACTTGGTTTGCTTGGGGACAAGCAAACGGTTAAGTGTGGGGGGATTTGATGACTCGATATTTGCACATGTTTTCCCCTTTGTTTCTTGATCGTTTAATCTTTCATTATTGCTTCTTTGGCCTATTTTACGATAGGTTGTGTTCCTTTTTCACATTTTAGGTCCTAGCACATAAAGTGAAGCATAGGCGCAAGTTTCAAGTCAATCAGAGATCAATTGGCGATTCGGGAGAAGAAACTCGGGCATGACTTGAAGAAGAATGGATTTCTACCTCACTTTATGGACAAAGAATCATGCAAGCTTGTCATGATAAGAAAGAGGACGAGTCTACGAGCGTCTGGGATCAAACGGCGAGTGATTCGGAGTCCGGACGAGGGAGAAACGAAGCATTGAATATAGGGGAACATGTTCGGCAGTAAAAACACGGGCGCGCCTAAATCAAAACACGGCCGTGCCCATATTTAGGCACGACCGTGTTTTGGCCGACGCGCGCGGGCGTGTTTTTAACACGGGGCAAAACACGGGCGATACTAATCAAAGCACGGTCGTGCCCTCGACCGTGTTTTGCCCAGGGTCAGCCTTTTTAGGCAGATTTGAGCCAAAAGAGAAAATGATTCGAGTTTTAGAGAGACAGAGCGATTCTTAGAGAGAGAAAGCGACGAACAAAGGTTCCCAAGTGCCCTAGCTTGATCTTCATCACCATTGGAGTTTGGCTTGAGCTTGGAGGAGTGCCGATCAACGTCCAGGAGCAGAAATCCATCCTTCACAGTATGATTTCCGCGTCTGAATATGCTTTTGCTTCTTTCTCCATGGAGTAGTTCTCCCATTCATCTGGGTATGGGAAACCCTAGATTTGTATATTAGGTTTGATTGTATGAAACCAAGTACTGATTCTATGATTTGATTATATTTAGTTGAGGTTTGAATGATTGAATGCCATGAATCCTGATCAAATTCCTGTTGTTTCTGCTTTAACCTAGAATGAGAATATCTGCCTAGGTTGATAGAGCGTCCTTGATTGAAGGTAGGGAGTTGGTGGCTTTAGTCGAGGAGCCAACTCACTATTCTGTACCGAATTCACTTCGGTAGTGGAGGTTTTGTTCGTTAGGGCCTCAATCTGTTTACTCCGGTGGAGGTTAGTCGCCCGCTGGAGACTCAGATTGAGAGGGTCTGTAGACCTTTAGTCGAGACTTCAGACTGTTTAAGAACCTTGCGCAGTATAACTATCATAGAAATTGAACTTGGTAAATCGCAATCCGGCTTAACTACAGTCTAGGGGGAACTATATCCGGGTGACCTCTCTTGACCTGAAAACAACCGTTTAGTTGCTTTGCTTGTTTGTTAGTTTAGATCTTCACTAAAGTTTCATTGCTAGATAATACGAATTCACTGAGTAGTCATCATATCTAGGACCCGGGTTGACATTGAAACCCAAACCCGCTATACTACGCTTTAGGAAGTGGTTGCACTTGGCCATTTTCTAGGGTGACTGTAGGAGTGAGTCAGTAAGTGTTGAAGTTTTAAAACGTGTTTTAGACTGCATGGCCACAACCATAAGCACTTCTACTATGCTATATAGCATTGGTGCTTTAATGTACAACTCAAAGTTGTACCATAATAAATGTATAAGTTTAGGTTGTACCATAAAGCAATTTGTATCATTATGTTATGGTGCAACTTTACAACTTGAAGTTGTACCATCAAATAAAGGTACAAGTTCAAGTTGTACCATAAAAGAATTTGTACAAAAAGTATAGGTACAATCTAAAGTTATGTTGGGTTGGTCCAACTCATATGGTGGTTGGATTAACCGGTTTGAGTTTGGGTTTTTGGTTGGTTTCTAGAAGATCCTCTATTTTCAAAATAGAGAGTTATTGTCCACTCAAAAGTAAAAAGAGGTGACAGCCTTTCATTTGTAGAGAGAGAATCAAGAAAAGAGAAGAGATAAAGAAAAAGAGAGAAGAGAGGAAGAGCTGCAGTTTTTCGTTTCTGCAGCAGGGCAGCCTGTTCAAGTGAGCGTTCTGGAAGATTGAACCGTTGGATCGTCATTCTGAGGTCTAGTTCGTCGGGAATCTCTGCTGGACAGAAGGTGTACGAATCTGTTTTTGGGTATCTCTCAACCTCTGTTTGTCTTGCTCTTGTTCTAGTTACCCACCATGTTGGTGAGAGCTATTGTGGTTGATTGTTGATCCAAGAAGGGTGTTCTTGAGGTGTTTGTAATCCTCTAGCTAGTCTAGAGAGGACTTGTAATCCCACCAAAGTCTAGTGGAGTTGTGGCTTGGACAAAGGTCCCGTGATTTTTCCCGATTTGCGTTTTCCACGTAAAAATCGTGTGTCTTGTGCATTCTATTCTTGCTTGTGGTTGCTGCCCGGTTTCTCAACAAGTTGTACCATAACATAAATGTACAATTTTAAGTTGTACCATAAAAACAAAAACCTATAACACCAATACTATATAGCATTGTAAAATTTCTCCCCAACCATACTAGATGACATTTCTTCATGACGAGACACAACGGGAAAGGTTGACATCACAAAATTAATTACTGGGCCTCTTCTTATTAAACCACATCGCACATGGCACGTATTAGGCAAGCAATAATAATATATATAATATATAGCTACTAGCTAGCTAAGTGACTACTTACAAATTAAAAGCCTCTCCCACCGGCAGCCAACCTATCTCCCGGCCATGACCCCAAACTACCCACCCTCCGACCAAGTGTCCGCCGCCGGCACCGCCGCCACAAAAGCCTTCCTCATCCTCTTATCCCTCCTCGTCTCCATCGTCCTCACAATAACCCTCAAGAGAAAACGAGCCGCCGCCTCCAACCTCCCGCCGCTCCCTCCCAGCCCGCCATCATGGCCGGTGATCGGCAACCTCCCGGAGATAATATTCCACACCAAACCCATGTTCCGGTGGGTCCACGACGTGATGAAGGACATGAACACCGACATCTGCCTCATCCGCCTCCCCGCCGGCGGCCCCACCATCGTCCCCGTCCTCGACCCGGCCATCGCCAGGGAGATGCTGAGGAAGCACGACGCCAGCTTCGCCGACCGCCCCGCTTCCTTCGGCAGCCACGTCATCAGCGACGGCTACTTGACCACCGTGATGTCGCCCACCTGCGACGACCAGTGGCGTAAAATGCGGAAGGTGCTGACCTCCGAGATCGTCTCCCCCGCAAGACACAAGTGGCTCCACACAAAGCGCGTGGAAGAATCCGACAACCTCGTCTTCTACGTCCACAGCCGCTGCATCTCCGGCAAGAGCGTCGACCTCAGGATCGCCACGCAGCATTACTGCGGCAACGTCATGAGGAAGATGCTCTTCGGCCGGAGGTACGTAGAAAATCATTTCGTCTTAATAATTCGAGCTTGGAGATATTAATAATAAGCTACAAAATACAACCGTAATTTGAGTAAATATTTTAGAAACTGTACCTACCTCAAAATTCTATATAACAGTTGAAAATATCATATATCAGAAGTAGTCTATTTTAGCACTATAAAACAGTTGAATTTTCCTCTATATTTTTTTTTTACGATTTCACAATTCTTGATTTGAACAGATTCTTCGGGGAGCCAACCTCGGATGGTGGGCCCGGGCCAATGGAAGTGAAACACGTGGAGGCATTGTTCACCGGGTTGAAGTACCTGTACTTCTCCGGTGTATCGGATTACCTGCCGTGGCTGAGGGGATGGGACGTCGATGGAAAGGAGAAGATTGTTAGGGAAGCGGATAAGACCATCAAAGCTCTCCAAAACCCTATTATTGACGAGAGGATTCGACAGTGGAGAAGTGGAGAGAGGAAGGAGATCGATGACCTCATTGATGTACTCGTCACTCTCAAGGATGACGTCGATAGGAAACCCTTGCTTACACCCCAAGAAATCAAGAGCCAGGCTGCGGTAACAATTAATTAAAAAAACTATACATAACGTAAGCTGATTCACATTTTTTTGTCATTGACGACTCAATTTCATGTTCTTATAAATGGGTGTATTTACTCATGCAGGAATTAATGATGGCGGTGATAGACAACCCATCCAATGCGGTGGAGTGGACGATGGCCGAGCTAATCAACCAGCCAGACCTCATGGCGAAGGCCGTGGAGGAAATCGATCGAGTTGTTGGGAAAGAATCGCGATTGGTTCAGGAATCTGACTTCGGAAGTCTGCACTATGTGAAGGCATGTGTTAGGGAGGCGTTCCGGCTACATCCAGTATATCCATAACGTTCCCCACGTGTCTACTTGTGATACGGTCGTGGCTGGCTACCTTATCCCTAAGGGTAGTCACGCCCTGCTCAGCCGGTACGGGCTTGGCAGGAACCCGGAGGTATGGACCGATCCACTCAAGTTCGACCCAGATCGCCACCTTGATGGCACCGGTGATCATAACAGTGTGGTTCTCGCCGAGCACGATCTTAGGTTCATATCATTTAGCACTGGACGGCGTGGTTGTGTGGCGGCGGTGCTTGGGACTTGCATGACCACCATGTTGCTAGCCAGGTTGCTTCAGTGCTTCACGTGGGCTCCATTGGAGGATGGGAAGGGCGTCATTGATCTTGCTGAAGCTAAGGATGAGCTCTTTCTAGCCACGCCCCTCGTAGCGTTTCCTAAACCTCGTTTGGCTCCCCACCTATACCCCAAAACAAATTAAGAACCCGTTTGTGTTAGGAATATTTATGCGTGACACATCCTTGCGCAGAGACCATGTTCATCTTCTTTGTATTATTCCAATTTTATCAAATGTCTTCGAAACAGTGTTAGGATATTTAGTTCCTGTTAGTTTATCATATTTTACTCATAAATTGTTAGAAAAAGGTACACTTAATATTTTAGAGCACTTCTACTATGCTATATAGCATTGGTGCTTTAATGTACAACTTGAAGTTGTACCATAACATTAAAAGTATAAGTTTAGGTTGTACCATAAAAGAATTTGTATCATTATGTTATGGTACAACTTTACAACTTGAAGTTGTATTCAAGGTACAAGTTTAAGTTGTACCATAAAAGAATTTGTACAAAAAGTATATGTACAATCTGAAGTTGTACCATAACGTTAAAGATACAATTTCAAATTGTACCATAAAGAAAAAACTTAAAGCACCAATACTATATAGCATTATAAATTTCTCAATATCTTATAGTTGAGAAATTCCCGTTCTTTCTTCGAAATAATTTCATTTTTAGTAAAGAACTCATAAATGAGAGATTGGCAACTAATCATGAGGGGATGGTGTAGTCATGACGTGGCCACATGGCGCAAACAAGAAATTGATCGAGCGTTGAAAAGGACGTGGCCGCTCGAGAAATCATATATATATATATATATGGGCAGCTCTACGGTGCCCAGGGCAAAATCCGGGGTACGGGTAACCAGGGGAAGGAAAATTACCAAAAGCATCACGAAGCGTTTAAGCGTTTTTCATTGGACTTCAACCTAACTGTACCCAGTTTAATTATATCGATTAAGAGGTTAAACCCTATGGATACGACCCGCCGCCCTAACCAATTTCTAGTCCCTCATTCGTCTTGGAGGGGATGTCCCCTCTTAGTTCGAAGTTCGAACATAATCCTTTTATCATCGTTTCTGAAATCTGAAATCCTTTTTATCATTTGATCGACATTCGATTTAGCTCCCAATCCAATATCAAATCCCCAACATCATCATGTTTTGAACCCCAAATCTATGTATCCACGTTCGAAGAGAAGATCCCTTTTCAATCTAAAATCCCCACATAATCATCATTTTGAACCACAAATCCTTGTATCCACAATCGACGTTTTGTTCTTCCCCATTTTATTTCCGAACGGAATAAAAAATCTCCACATAATCATCGTTTCCTTGTATCCACAATCGACTTTTTGTTCTTCGCCATTATATTTCCGACCGGAATTTACACAAATTGAAGATGAAATAAGCAACACAGTCTTCGACCAAATTGAGGAAGAAGATGAAGAAGACAGGATTTGATTCGAATCGGATGGAGAGGTCGCCTTAACTTGTGTTTATGTATTAACGGTGCGTTTAGGACAAAGTCTAGTTGGGCTTTTAAATTCCCTTCAAAAGTGGGCTTGTGTACATGATCCGGATTGTGAAGAGGTTGGGATTTTATTTACATCTGCGCCTGCTTCTGCTTCTGCTTCTAAATCCTGATCATGTCTTGCGTTCACGCAATTTAAACACAATTATGTGTTCCATCTTTTTTTTGGGATTCGGTAAATGGTAGCGTGTCTCTTTACACATTTATCGGTACGAGGTAAAAAACAATCTGCCCAATTTAACTCTTTATTAATTGCCCATATTCCACTCTCTCACTGTTTGCCCCTCTTGACATAACAAACCTCTTGTAGACTAATTAGAGGCTTGTGGTTGGATACTTAGTGAGGACATTTTTTAAATTTATGTTTTGAAACGAAAGTTAGAATTTCACTTTTGAAGTACTTGTGTACTTTACTTGGGCAAGTATTTTCAAAATGTAAAATTTTATCAGCGTATAGGTATGCGATTATTGTATAAGGTGTTTATGGTTAAGTTAATGATTACTGACTGGTTAGTGTATTAGGTTGTTGATGGTTTAGAGTATATGGTATATGGTATATGGGATGGTTTAGAGTATATGGTATATGGTTTAGAGTATATGGTATATGGGATGGTTTATAAGGTGTTGAATTGTTGATGGTCCAGATCATATTGTATTGATTGATTCGGCTGAGGGTAGGTGTTGTTTTATTTTTCTCGATTTTATATTTTCTTAACATCTTCTTATAAATGCTGATCATGCCTTATTATCAGGAAATTTAGACATAATTATTGTAGCGTGTCTCTTTACACATTTATCGGTACGAGATAAAATGATTTGGTGTGTGCAAAGTAGGTTCTCATTAACGATTTTGCCATGTTGGTTATCCAGCCCATTAGAGATTCGCCACATATGGAATCAAAATTAGTTAGAGTTCTTAACTTCATCTTTCTTCATTTATTCTTTGACTTGAACCAACATGTCTTTGCTCCGAAGGATTTTGGGTGGTAGTGGCGTGCTAAAGACAATCCGTCCAATTTAACTCTTCGTTAATTCCCCCTTTTCTTTTCTTTTCTTTTTTGGTAGAATAATTACCCCTTTTCCACTCTCTCAGTCCCCGCCGAAGTTGAAACAATCCCCTGTGATATATTTATCGTTCATTTTAACCCTTCACTTAATAAGAAAGCGAAATTATTCAAGATGGTCATCAATGTGATGTAGCTTAATTGGTTAATTGTCTGTTATTTGCTTAGTCAATAAAGTAGAGGTTTGTGGTTCGATACTTAGTGAGTATCAATTTTTAATTTATGTTTTGAAAAGCAAGTTATAATTTTAATTTATCAGCGTATAGGTATACGATATTGTATAAGGTGTTGATGGTTTAGAGTACATGGTATTGGGGGTTAGTGTATTGATCATCTCCATCCCTAAAATACGATATTGTATAAGGTGTTGATGGTTTAGAGTATATGGTATTGGGTTAGTGTATTGATCATCTTCATCCCTAAAATTGAACAACAATTTCTAAACGAGGTCCCTACCGCCACATCATCAATTTTAGCAATTCATCACTTAACAATTTCTATTCATCTACATCCCTAAATTATGCTAGCAATTGCCAAGGTGGGTTCCATTTTATATTTCAAAGAAAACACTTATTATAAATTGAAAGTTGGGGATGGAGATAGAAGAAGGTATTGTTGGTATATAGTATAAGGTCTTGAAGGTTATGGTATAAGGGAGGAGCAAGGTGTTGATGGTTTAAAGTATATATGTTATTGATTGGTTACGGTATAAGCCTATAAGGTGTTGTTATTGTTGTAGAGTATATGGTATTGATTGGTTCGTGTATTAGGGTTTAGTTTAGGGTTTCGGGTTTAGGGTTTAGGGTTATGATTCAAGTTAGGATAACATAAACCAGATCAATAGAGTAATGTTGGTAAACGAAAAAGTTAGTTAATCTACAAATTCATACTATTTATAAAAGTACATCCCCATTTTCCACCGTCAATTCCTAAACTTTTCCCTTAATCCGATGGTGAAATACCTTCGATCCTCGTTGCGTGCGTGTCACCCAATCAGATATTGCCGAATTCGGAAAGTCGCTTTTGCCCATAACCAATGCTGGCGTTACCAAGGCCGAGGCAGTGGTAGGGAGTGTAATTTTCAGTAAATGTGAAGGGAGGGGAGCAAAAGTAATTACGAGTCAATCTATAAATTCGTTAATCAATGAAGGAGAGACCGTGCTCCGAAACCCGAGTGGCACTCATCTCCTGCTGCTGTTCGTTCCTCCTCCTCTCAATCCCTGAAAAGAACCCTTTCTTCCATCTTCTCAATATGAAACTCCGAAAATCAACCCCATCCGCATCTTCATCCTCCTATCCCATGCTTTATTTTCGGGTGCAGTGGTAATGATGAGACTGCGTATTATTTTAGATCTCATTTCCTTTCATTATGTCATTGTTAGATCATGACTGTTAAACTAAATCCTTCGTTGTATTGTTTCTCCTTTTCTCTCCATGCAGGGTCTTTGTTAGAGGCAGGGAGGGGAGCAATGACAATAAGTCGCCGTCTGAATATCGCCGAAAGAATCATCACATGTTGTTGCGATTCCATAATAGGTGTTGTGGAACCCTACGTCATGTGGTGGTTCTTTTGCGCCATATTGACGCGTACTTGTTGATCATGCTCCCAAAATGTATACAAGATAGGAAAGTTTCCATATGTATAATAGGATAAAATAGGGAGGGAAAGTACAGCTTTTTGTTTTTGTTGGACTTTATGTAACATTTGTTTATATTTGTATACTGTTTTGTTATTTTTTCTTCTGCTTCTCTCTTCGCTTCCATGGCGGCTTCCAAAAGTGTTTGAGATCTTCTAAATCTGCGAGGGATCCTCCACTCCCAATAAAAATATTGTACTTTGTACTATTAAGCGTTTGAGATCTTCTAAATCTGCAGGGGATCCTACACTCCCAATAAAAATACTGTACTTTGTACTATTAGCGTTTGAGATCTTCTAAATCTGCAGGGGATCCTACACTCCCAATAAAAATACTGTACTTTATTTGTTGACTACTGACTCCATTTTTAGAAGTCGTTTACGATTGGGCCAACCGGATTTTTTGCCGGATTTCGAACTCTGCTCCTCTGTCGCCACATGCTCTACCCATTTAATGAGTGCTCAAAATTAGTGCAAAAAATACGATATAATAATTGAATAAAAAAAACTAGTTCTCAAGATTATTCAACTGAAATGTTGCACATGATTTATTTAGAGTGCTTAAAAATTGCCTTCAACTGACCATTAATGAGTGCATAAATTAAACGACACCGCAAGAGCCAACAGTCTTCTTATATACCAAACGACTCGGCATAGGAGGACTTCCAGTTTCAGTTCAAGTTTCCAACACCGAGCAAATATATGGTCCCAATTGCCACTTCAGCAACTTTAACTATACATCAATTGTGACCGTGGGTCCTACTTAATTTTCAATGCAATTCAATATTAATTGGTGAGTGTGTTATATTAATTTGAGTTTTCTCTCAAGTTGTTTTTTGTCGTTGTGTTATTCGAATTATGTAAAGTATTATGATTGGAATTGTATATATGTGTGTGCTGCATGAAAATTTGCAACTGCATGAAAACATTCATCAGATGCAAATTTGCAACTTTTGTAATTGATCCCACATCAATGCAACTCACCATCCCACTTTCACTCCCTTGCCACATCAGCTTGCAATTCTCAAGAATTGCACCA